ATCACCGTAACAACGTTTCTCTTCTACGAGCAAGGTTTTTGTTTTGTTGTGTATGTGATTACGTGTTGGACCAAAGGGCCCAGACCCAGACAGACACAGCCCCACCTGACCAAACGAGGAAAATGTTTTCGCCTCTCATCACTCTTTTTGGCCTCTTCCGACTCTCGGGGTTCACCTCCTCCTTCTCCCTCCCACGCCAAGGCCACCATCATCATTTCTTTTTTAGCATCTTCTCCCATTCCCCTTTTTCATCCTCAATATATTTTCATTGTTACATCATTAAATTCGTAATTTGAGCAACGTATGAACAAAATTTATGGCATGAGGCTTTGGTGACATACACATAATAAATTGTATCGACATTTAACTGCGTTGATCACGGATTAAGGGTGCAATTTACTTGTTTTTATCAAACATTAACATATATCTACGCTTTAGCATCCATGCTTTTCATGTTCTTGAAAAATTCTCTTGTTTCTGTCATGTCTGCTAACCCAATTTGACTGATTATGGAACTTCTTTTTCATTGGCCAATGACGAGCTATGTTCGTGGAGATGAAGTGACCCAAAGAGAATTTAAATATTGTATTAAATACTGCACTCATACTGTTTTCTTTCTGTTTCCACCTACACCAAGTGACGATAGCATAACATTGCTGTTATTGACAGTTTTTTTAATAATCTACTGTGCTTGTTGTATATCATTTGAATAAAAAAAGCTTATATTATGAAACTACCATATTATGTACATGTTAAATATCCCTTGATCAGTACTGCCCATAGGAGGCTATGGCCACTTGTTTAATGGGGTCGAGAGACTTCATCAGGCCTGGTTTTCTTTTATTATATTTCTTGCTTCTTCTGTTGATGTTAAACAATCAAAGGTATTTTTCCTGCAGTTGTAATCTTTGTTAATTAGATTAGCAGCAGTGTGCTTGATTGCCTGCGTGGTAAAAAAACTGAAGCATTGATCTTATCATACAGCATGTTGGAAATGACACTCCACCAAAAAAAGGTAGTTTTGCTGTTCTAAGTTATGATTATAAATCAGCTCTTTTCTACCCAGAAACTAATCAAAGAAATTAGGTATGTTGATTGCCGTAATCAGGGATAAAAGTAAAGCCGACATGTTTTACAATCTGTTTTCGGGAATGGAAATCAACATGCAATTTGTCATTCAGAGACAACTTCCCTGGCGACATTGATGGGATTCATTAACTCATGCCTTTGTTAAACGTAGTTAAATAATACTGGATCGGAAGCATCCTAACTATTTTATATATGAATAAAAAACAAAGGAAGCCAGAGTTTGGGTTGCTATACCCTTACGAGGCTGGCTGGGACTATCAACCAAAAACCAGCACATTGACTCTGTGCAACAAGAACCTGGGAGCAGAGTATTCCACAATAAGAAAGCATTAGCACTGGATTAATATATATATATATATATATAGAAAGAAAGACAGAGGTTACGATTATGATCTCAATCAAGTAAAATTTGATTGTGGAAGAAACTGAATCTTTATTAAAAACTTTACTTAAACTTCGAATTGAATAGGAATTTGTAAATACTCTCCCACTTTTTCTCTAACAACGGATAATGGTACTTCTTCGCCGACGTCGCGTCCTCTCACTCTCCCGCCTATTTCTTCTCCGTCTTCCGTCTTTCTTATTTTTGATTTTAGAAATCCTGGAACCCCAATCCCAATGACCTTCCCCTTTTTTTATTCACTGTTGACGACCAGTATAGGGTTTTGTCTTCTTCCTTTCGTCGTTTTCTTTCTCTTCTTCTCTCCAAAAAGATCTCAAAAGAAATAGTGTTCTGAGCCATTGCTTGTTTAGTGTGCGGACGATGAGTTAATGTATCTCCCAATTTCTTTGGTGTTGGCTGCTACTAGTTTCAGATTTTTTTAATCTCTTAATGTAGGTATTATCTTGGTCGCCTTGTAATATATCTCTTTCTTGGCTTGCCAGCTTTTGTGTTCTTCTCTGTTTGTGTTCAGTGGAGTTGTTTTTTGTTTGTCGGTGTTTTCGACTTTCTTTTTTTGTCATTTAATCAAATTTTAAAGTACAATTTTTGTTTGGTATTTTCAATTTTTTTCCTTTCTTTTGTGCTTATTTTGAAGGAATTTTTTTTATCAAAAGACCCTTTTAATATCTATACTCTTCAATTTTGTTTAATTCAATCTCCACACTCAAAATCGAAATCATTTAATCTTTTGATTTTAAAAATTACGTTAATTTAATCATTTCTCTCAATGATATCTAATTTTATCGTTAAAAAATAACATGACATCATCGTTGACGTGTCACATTTTGATGATGTGATATTTGAGATAATGACATGGCATGTCATGTGGCACCGAGTGATGACGTGGTAATGCTGCATGACACTATACGATGATGTGATAATACTGATGTGACACTGATATGTCAGTGCCATGTGACAGATCAAAAAAATTTTCAAAAAAAAATTCTGCTATATCATAAGGTTTAAATTAAACAAACATATATAGTATAGGGATTAAATTGAATAAAATTGAGATATTAAGGAACTAAATTGAAAAAAAATTAAAAAGTATAAATTTTTAAGTAGATTATTGATATGCTTATCAATAAGTCGAATATTTAATTGTAAAAGATTTATGGTATTAAGTAATATATATAAATATTTTCTTACCTGATTATTTAATTTTAAAATACGTAAATTAATTTATCTTTTTTATAAAAATTAAGTTTGAATTCTTCTTCTATAAAAAAAATTTTAAAAAATTTTCATATTTAAAGTCAAATTTAGATAAATAACTTGCATTACGTTAAAATAAAATAATATAAAATGATTAAATATGTTGATTTAGTTACAACTTTCACAATTTATAAATACATATTCTTTTGAAATTATTCAACTCTTACTCAATTTATTTTTTATTTAAATTTACTCAAATTAGCAAAATATCTTGATTTAGTTACAACTTTAACAATTTATAAAATACATATTCTTTTACAATTATTCAACTCTTAGCCAATTTACCTTTTTATTTAAATTTACTCAAAATTTCTTATAAAACGATGCTATTTAAATTCAAATACCACAATTAAATTTTGTTAAATTTAAATTTAAATTATTAATTTAAATTTTAAAAAAAATTATTAATAAAATAAAATGGTACAAATGTTTACAGTTATATTTAACTTTATTAACCATAAATGCAATCTTTATTCTAATAAATTTCAACTTAAAAAATGTAACTTGAACTATTAAACAAAATAAAAATATAAAAAATAAATAAATAATTAGAATAGTGGGGCTTAGATTTTATAGTTGTAATAAGAGGTTTGTCATGTCCAAATTAAGCAAGTCAAAATAAAAAATTATTTTTATGATTACACTAACTCTATATCTCCGTTCTTCATTTTTTAAAAAATAAAACTAAATTAACATGTTTTGTTAATTTAACTTTAGCTCAAGTTAAAAACAAAGTTAAATAAATTTCACATTTTTATACTATTATAAATAGAAGAAAAAAGAATTTATTTAGTTATTTTATATTATTTTATGTTGATGTAATATAAGTTATTTATCTAAATTTAACCTCAAGTATGAAATTCTTTTTCAAATTTTTTTATAGAAAAAATATTCAAACTTAATTTTTATAAAAAATATAAATTAATTTACATATTCTATACTCAAAAAATCAAGTAAGAAAATATTTATATATTTTTTTAATATCATAAATATTTTATATTTAAATATTTGGTTTATTAATAAGCATATCAATAATTTATTAAAAAAATTATAATTTTTAATTTTTTATTAATTTAGTCCTTCAACATTTTAATTTTGTTCAATTTAATCCATGTATTATATATTTTTATTCAATTTAGTCCCTATAAAGTGACAAAAACTTTTTTTCTGAAAATTTTTGTGCTCTCCCACATGACATTACCATGTCATCACTCAATGTCACATGGCATGCCACGTCATCATCTCAAATGCCACGACATCAAAATGTAACACGTCAGTGATGATGTCAACACTGACATCATCCTTTAATGGTAAAATTAAATGCCATTAGTTAAATGGATTAAATTGATGCAATTCTCAAAATCAAAGAACTAAAATGCTTCGATTTTGATTATAAGAATTAAATTGAATAAAATTGAAGAATATAGAAACTAGAGGGGTTTTTTGACCAATGCCATGTCATCATCTCAAATGTCACGTCATCATCTCAAATGCCACAATATCAAAGTGTAACACGTCAACAATGATGTCAGCACTGACATCATCCTTTAATGGTAAAATTAGATGCCATTAGTTAAATGGATTAAATTGATGCAATTTTCAAAATCAAAGAACTAAAATGCTTCGA